ACCGAGGCCTCGGCGTCGAGGAGCGCTGACCGGCCGCGCGCAAATTGTACAAACACCAACGATGGCGCCCGCTACCGCGAGCACGCCTCCGTCTGGGCTGCCCTCGAGGGCGACGGCGACAAGGTCCGGCCGGGAGATGTGCGGCTGATCAGTCTGAACTGGCTCATGGCGCTGGCAGAGCGGGGCGACGTGCTCCCGCGGCGGCAAGACCTGCCAGAGGAGGCCTTCTTAAGCTCTGCTCAGCTGAGGCGGATCGAGCAAGGCGCCAGGCGCGGCTTTGACTCCGCCGGCTTTGGGGAGGCCCTGCAGCGCGTCAGCAAGGAGCCCTCCCCCTCGTCCTTTCTCGCCTTTTTCGCGAGCTTTTTCGGCCGCAAGCGCAACCCCGACCGGCTGCTCCCGATCATCTCCGTCTCCTACTGCTGGCTTGAGGCGGCGCATCCAGATCGGGAGGGCCGCCAGCTCCAGCTGCTCTGCCGCAAGCTGCGGGGCCTCTACGGCGGGCGCGGCCTGCTCGGCGCGTGCCGCGCCTACGGCTTCTCGGACATGGTGAGCTGCCTCCCGCGCCTTGCCCACCGCCACTCTCTTCCTCACCGCCACTTCATTCCTGGCTCGCGCAGGGTGTGTTCCTGGACTGGTGCTCGGGCTACCAGAAGAACCCGGCGCTATTTGCCGAGCGGCGTGCGTATGAGGCGAGCCGGTCGGGCGAGGAGAAGGCCGCCTTCGGCCGCATGCTGGAAAACACGATGGTGAGCACACGCCAGCCCCTCCCTCTGATAGCGGCACAAAATGCAACGCTCTCACGGCACGGCTTTACATTCCGCATTAGGACCTCTGGTACGCGCACCGCTCGGTCACCGTCGTGCTGCTCACGCAGCTGCCGGACGAGCTGCCCGCCGGCTTTGACCGGAGCCGGACCTACGACACTCGCGGCTGGACAACATTCGAGCGGTGCTCGGCAGAGCTGGGTGCAAAGCCCGCCTCGCTGGGCTTTGCCAAGTGGAAGCTCGTCATCGACGTCGCCAGCGACGACGGCGGCGCTCAGCGGCGGCTCCCCGCGACTCCGGAGCGCATGGCGACGCTGCTCGCCGCTTGCCGCTTCACCAACGGCGCGGACTCGGCGGCCGTGCTGGCGCTCTACAAAAAGACGGCGAAGGCCGTGCTGGGCACGGTCGAGAAGCTCAACTACATGGGTCTGCCGCTCGTGCGTGGCGACGCGTGGACTAGCCCGGCGCTGCTGGCGGAGGCGCTAAACCATTGCGAGAGCCTCCGGACCCTCGAGTTGGGAGGGACACGCCTCGACGACGAGGGCGTGGCGGAGCTTGCGGCGGGGCTCGAGGACGGCGCGCTCCCGGCGCTTGAGTACCTCAACGTAGCGGCAAACCGCTTCGGCGCGCGCGGCGTCGGCGCGCTCTGTGGCGTGTTCCATCGCGGCGTGGCGCCGACGCTGCAGATGCTCGGCGTCGCTGCCACGCCTATTGGCGACGAGGGAGCCGCGGCGCTGGCTGCGGCGCTGGCGACGGGGAAGCCGTCGCATGGGTTGAGCTTGCTGTGGTGCGACGTGGGCGACGAGGGCGCGATGGCACTCGCGGCTGCCCTCCCGGCCGCGGGTCAGGGATGTCGCGTGCTCGCCTTGTATAATCGGATCGGCCTCGCGGGCCAGGCGGTACTGCTGGAGGCGCTCGAGGCGAAGCACGGGCCGCAGATGGGGAATGCGATGGCGGTGTGGCAGCTGAACTTGCTTCCCTGGTCGTACCCGCTCATGCGCGCGTTGGCGCGAGGCTGGCGCCGTGTGGTCGAGAGTGCCGGCCGATTCACCATATATTAAGGCACTACCTATATGATTGAATGCTTTCAGACTCTGCGGAGCTCGCACATCGTACTCGCGAGAGCGATGAGATGTGTGGGGAGGGAGGAGGGGCAGGGGGAGAGGGCGAGAGGCGCGGGGTCCGGGCCCTCCGCGGGGAGGGCGTGCCTTCCACGCCGACGCCTCGTGTAATCCACTGGGCCGGGAGCAACCTTAATAGACACCTCAAACACGACGTCAGACCCCCTCCCCTCCACCAGGACCCCCATCAAAGAAACGCACCTTGTGTGTCCGTATCCCCGTCGAAAAAGAGAAAGGAAGTTGACACCCAAAAGGAAGGAGTCTACGTCAGCTCGCGCAAGAGAGCGTCTGCTTGCTCGTGCAGGTTCCCGCCAGCCTCGCAGCCCACGTCCTCATTCGCGGCGTGGATAGCGGCTCGGAGGCTCAGGCTGCCGTCGAGCCCCAACGCCTGGGGTGAGGTGGTGGTGAGGGTGAGCCTCTCCACCTCTCCACACACTGAGGCCACGGCTGATGGGGCGGGGGGGGGGGGGGGGGGGGGGTTTTCCAACTCCCCGGCCCCCAAAAAAACGGGGGGGGTCTCCCTTAAAATTCAAAAACGGGGGTGCGGGCCTGCGTGCGTGCCCCCCCCCGGGCGTGCGTGCGTGCGTGCGTGCGTAAATGCCTGCCTGCCTGCCTGTGTGTGTGTGTGTGTGTGTGTGTTTGTGTGTGTCCCCCCCTGTGTGCCTGTGTGTGCGTTTGTCCCTGGGGGGGGGGCCAAAGGGGGGGGGGGGGGGAAAACCCCTTTAAAAAACCCCCTTTTGCCCCCAGGGGGAGGGGCCCCCTTTCCCAACCCCAACCCCCCCCGGGGTTTTTTTAAAAGCCCTTTGTATTCCCCGTTCCCGGGGAA